ATAGTAATTTAAATTTACCGAATCAAACTCAAAATACCTTAAATCAAAATAGTATGAATCAAATTGACAATAACACTTTGGGTATTCTTTTGAATATGATCAATCAATCAAAGATGAATAATCCTGTTCAATCAAATTTTAATTCCGTCAATCAAAACCTTTTAAATTCTTCAAATTTAATCACTTCTTCTAATTCAAATTTCAGTTATAACAAATCAAATAGTAATAATAATCAGATGAATGATTTAAATCCGAATCTCAACAATTTCACTCATCCAATTCAGTCAAATAATCAGATGAATCAGAATATTTCCATTCAACAATTACCTGACAGTGAAATGAATTTAAATGAAGATAATCAAAAGTTTCATACGGATTTTAATCAGAATGTAGTTTTGACAACTCCACCTTCCAAAAGAACTTCCCATTCTGTTTCAAATTCAAATTCATTTCAAACTGCTCCCTTATCACTTCCACCTCAAAAACCTTCTCCCTTTTCCAAAGTTCAATTAGATTTAAATCACGGAGATGAAATGGATTTGGATTCAAAGCACGTAGATCATGAAATGGATTTAGATTCAGATTTAGACGCAGAAGGTTCAACAGATGATGGAAACAATGAAGACTTTATTTATATTAATAAGGAATACATTATTAAAGATCCTTTCAACAAAAAAAATAAAGCTTTTGAAGATGATAAATTCAGTGAAGGTGAGTTTCAATTTTTAATTTTTTTTTTACATGATTGATACTTCTTCATATTAATATGTGTTTTTCTACGTGTTTTAGAATTTCAAAAACATGTAGAAGCTCTTCATAATCTTCCAGATGAAGCTGGAGCTGAAGGAGACATCAATCTCAAAGGTATTTGATTATATTTTCGATTTTTTTTTTTTTTTTTTGAAATTTGCTTTTTTTCACGTTTTTGGTTGTTGATCCATCTATTTTTTTTGGTTCTTTATTCTCAACAGATCTTCCAGATATCCACGTGGCGTGTTCTGCTGTGGATGCAGACTGGCCTATAATTGCAAATGGTGAGTGATTTTCTTTAATTAATTTCGAAATTTTATGCAATTTTTTTCGAATTAATACTGATTGTTCATCCTTCTTATTCATTATTATTATTATTCTTTATTATTATTATTCATTCTTATTATTAATTATTCATATTATTATTCATCCTCATCAATATCAATCTTATTATTCACATAGTTAATGATTTAAGTTTAGATCTCAAAGATCCACGGTGGGGTAAACTTTTTCGAAGTGATAAGGTGGCAAAGCAATACCTTTACTCCGTATCATTAAATGGTGGATATGGAATATCCGTAACTTCTTCAAAAAATAACCGTGGATGCCATAAAACAATTTATTTTCACTGTCATCGTGGTAATCCTAGAAAAAGCAAAGCTACTCAACGAATTACTTCAACTAAGAAAACCGGATGTCAGTGGAAGGCTGTTATTAAACAAAATAAGAAAACTGGTGATTGGGTTTTAGATCAAGTCAGGAATAGTAGTACTGGACAATTTCTTAATCATTTATCTCACAATCATGAACCTTTTCAATCTCCTAATGAATTTTCAATATATAGAAGA